GTATAAACCCAGAAAAACACAGCACTTGGTCTTTTACTTTGAGATGAAGGCCGGTTTGCCCCCTCCTTTTATTTTTTTTTGCTTTTTGGATCACACCCAGTGATGCTCAGGGGTTCCTCCTGGCTCTGCACTCAGGAAGTACTCCTGGCGGTGCTTGGGGGACCATATGGGATGCTGGGAATAGAACATGGGTTGGCTGCATGCAAGGCAAGTGCCCTACCCGCTGTGCTATCACTCCAGCCCGTTTGCCTTTTTTGGGGCAGTGTTCTATTTCCCTAAGCTTTTCCTAGGTTTCTACTTCTCGGTGAAATCTTTCCCCAGTCTGCACCCCTGCCTGACACCCATCCTCCCAACATACTGTGGGAGCCACTGGGTAAGCTGTTCTTCCAAGGGTGTGAGAAATGGGAAAACCTTAAGACACCCCAGATGTGGGTTGTTGGTAACTTAGAAAAATTTTTCAAATGATGAAAGACTGTTGATCTCATAGAGTTCCAGAACCTTTCTCACTCACATTGTATTTTATTCTTGCTCTTCTAACTCATCCCTTCCTTCCCATCTTCCACTCTTCCCCGGGTCTATTTCTCTGTTTGTTTTGGTTTTTCATTTGTTTGGTTTTTGGGTCACACCCAACGATACCAGCGGTTACTCCTGGCTCTGCACTCAGGAATTACTCCTGGAAGTGCTTGGGGGACCTTATGGGATTCTGGGGATTGAATCTGGGTTGGCCGAGTACAAGGCAAACACTCTATCCTCTGTACTACTGCTCTGGACCCCAACCCAGGTCTATTTATCTTTAGAGTTTTCTTCCCTCCCTTCCTCTCTGCCTCTCATTTTTTAATTTTTACTTTTTGGAGAGGGCTCCTACACAATACTCGGGAGACCCAGGGGACCCCTCCTAGCAATTTTTGACCAACGTGGATGGCGGGTCAGTGAGAGAACTCAGTGGTGTGATGTTGCTCAGGCCTGTTCAAGCATCAAACTCTATTCAGGTGTTACAGTACAAGGAATTATTGGGCACACTTGTGAGCCTCCAGAACTATACCCAGTGATGATTGACGGTCACGTGGCACTAAGGATGATGCCAGGCACGCACCTTAATCCCTTCTATTTCCCTGGTTCCATCTGCCCCTAATTTTCTTGCTACTCCTTGACCCGTTTTCTCCTCTCTTTTGCCTTCTCAAATAACAAAGCAAATTATTTTTTGGAAACAATTTTCAAGGTGTGGGAAAATGAACTTGTTCCCTTTTGTCAGATTCCCATGAGCATCCTGAATGTTAATGAAATAAATGGCCTGGAGGAAGACGAAGTCAGTTGGTGGGTCTGACTGTGTTTCTGTTCTCTCTCTCTCTCTCTTCCTCACGCACACACACATATACACACACACACATGCACACACACAATTCTGCAGTTTAACAGGGATGGGCAGGCTTTGAAAACTTGTCACTGTCTCTGTGGTTATTTCTGAAAAGAAAAAAAAATCAACATAAAAATGTGAAGAAATTTTGGAAGAGAAGAGAGGCAGATACCTCCCTTGATAATCCATTAGGTAAATAGTCTTTTCCTGAATACCACGTTTTAATTTGCATGGGTGAATGGGTTAAGGGGACTTCAGGTGCTTCCCCACCTCCGTGGAGTGGGACAGAATAATAGCTGAATGTGGTAGAATGAGGACAGTTCTGGTGTTGAGCAGGACCACCCAGCAGGATGCAGCAGTAACTCAGGAAAGTACACTGCACAGAATCTAACTACCTTCCTTGGCAAGGGTACTCAGCAGCATGGAAAAAAGAACAGACATCTGGTTTAAGCATTCTTGAGCTCAAATCCTTGTTACTTTATTTTCTTTCACTGACACTTTGATCATGTTCCTTAATTGCTTTGTACTTCAGTTTCTTCTTCCTTGAAATGGAGATCATAACAATCCCTATTCTTGGATTGTCCTAAGGGTTGGCACTGAAGCACAATAAAGGTGATGAATGATGATAAAGATTCATGTGAATCTGAATATTTGTTGTAGGCAACAATGATGCAAAATGTGCTCACATCAGTGTCCAGAACTCAACTTAGCACACAACGTGGCATTTGAACAGGTTACACAAAATCATTTGAGACTGTGTAGGAATGTAACAAAACACCTTGGGTATGTGAACAGTTCAGACACATGAATATTCCAAGTCATTTATCTTTTATAAGTTGTTTCAACTTCTGTGGAACTGACAGGAAAAGCGTTCATCCACTTGAATTAGGTTATGACTGCAGAAAAGAACAACTCCAAAATCACAGTGGCTTTTCCCAATGAAGATAGATTTCTCATTTGAACTACATGTAATTGGGGTCAGCCTGTGATTCTGTTTTTCACTGTCATTCAGAGATGTTGGCTTATGATAGATGCTTCATTTTGACATCTCTTTTTCACAGATGCCAGGATAAAAGAAGAAAGAAAGAAAAAGAAAAGGAAGAGAAAAGGCAGCAATTGAATGCTTAGCCCAGAATCTCTTTTGCTCACATTTGTTTGGTCAAAGAAGGCCACGTGAACGCACATAACTTGATTGTAATGGAGAAATGCACACATTCCTGAAGATTTATATTGGAGAATAGTTCAATCATACAGAGAATAATAACCATCACAGAAAAACTTCCCTAGGGGCTGGAGAGATAATGTAGTGAGTAGGATGCTTCCCTTGCATGTGACTGGCCCTGGTTTGATTCCCAAACCCTTCCAGAAGTGATCCCTGAGTCCAGAGCCAGCCAGAAATAAGTGGGATGAACACTTCTAGGTTTGGCCAAAGCAAAAACAAAAATAAAAAACAAACAGAAGAGTGTGTCCCGGATATCATATAATAATGACACTGGGTATAAAAAAATAATGTGAACTCTCATCATCTGAGCACATATTATATAACAGTTTGTGTTCACAAATCAGTTAATCCTTTCAGCAGATATTTTGTTTGTCTTTGTTTTGTGGTCACACTCCATTTGAAGGGATACTGTCATTTCATTGCTCCCATAGTGTTTAGAGAACCACGTGGTTAAGCACCAGGGCCTCCCACATGCAATGCAGCCTGTGGACTTTCCACCCCTACTCCACAGGGAAATCTTAATAATCTTCATACAGTGTGTAATTTGAGGTTCAGAGAGATTCACTTGGAAAGGTTGTGTTGGAGTTAAGGATAATATGAGCATAGTCTGCACAATTTCTTTCTGTATTTACAGGGAAATTCTTCAGAAAAGAACAGTGTATTACTAGGAGACTGTAGAAACTGGTTTTAGTCTCACTTTAATATGTTAAAATCTGAGCACATGCCAGGACTGCAAGCAGGTCTTGAGTGTCAACTCTGACAGATTTGTGTTGGCTGCAATGAGAGGAGTGCAATGAGTAGGCTTTCCAAAGGGAAGGAGTCATGTGATCCACTAACGGTGTCTGCTGTGGGCATAGGAAAGGAGTTGGAAGGGGATACAGATATCTGACTTTTTTGGACATTTTTTCTTTACTTCTCTGGGTTTCAGTCATATCACCTACAATACGAAGTTCATGACGCCTTACATGTGTGAAGAGACAGGAGTAAGCCCTGAGCACCTCTATGCATGGTCCCAAGACAAAAAGGATGACCCTCAAGCACAGAGCTGGTAGCAGATCCCAAGTACTGCCCACTGTGGCATAACAACAACAAAAACAAGCAACCAGGGTGCTCAAGAAGGACAAAACAGGGATGGGGATAACAACAATGTCCCCGGGAGAGTTTGTGGTTCCAAAGAAAGCCCAGAGCAGAGGGCTCAAGTAAATGCCCTTTGCTCAGTGCTCTGCACAGAACTATTGTCCATCAGGTAGGGTTGGGTTTTGTTTACTTTGGTTTTGGCAAGGAGACCCTGAGAAGGGAGCGTATGGGGGGACTTCAATCAAGGGAGAGGGTGTCGCATGCTCTCAGCTTTCACAGACCGAGTGTGGTGCTCTCATCTTTACTACACTGGGGTTTCTCAACTTGGACATTACTGACACTTTAGGTCAAGCACTTCCTGTCACGAGGAGGTGCTGCATGTGTCTAGCTGCATCTCGGGTCACTACCTCTTGCCCTCTTCCGCAATGTGACACTCAGCAGCATCTCTGGCATCTCCCCAATGTCCAGAGAAGCCACAGGGGGACATTATCTCCCTCAGTTGAGACCCACTGGTCTAGTGCAGTACTTATCAACTTTTTTCTGACCATGACCTCCCTTCCATCTTGTTTCTGATCTGTGCCCCATTTTTATCGTACCACTTGGCCTTTTGGTCTCATGCTAAGGGACCCCACTTAATATAATTTTTCACCTGTGGTGCTCTTGGAAAATCCTGGAAGCCCACAAGGGACCATATGGTCCTCAGTTGAGAAATGGGGGTAGAGAATTTGCCAAACAGCATCTAGTCAAACAATTTGAACAGCTACCATTTATTATTTTCAGGTAATTTCTCCATTTCAATCCCCAGATGACAAGGTGAGTTTCTGTAACCTACATCTTAACAACTGAAGAAATGGGGTTGAGGTGGTTCAAGTAACTTCCTTCAAATCCTACAGCTGGTAAATCGGGACTACAGATGGAGGACAGTTTAGCTCAGAAGATCAGATAGTTCCTGTGGCAACACTCTCTCTGTCTGAAAAATTATTATTTTTTTCTTTAAAGCAAGGAAATTCTTCTGAAGTCAACTCCAATCCAAAAATACTTCTTGGGAATTCCTGAGAAGCCATCAGAGAAAGCTAAGATGTTGACCCTTTCCAGGAATTTTTAATATCAATGTCATGGGGAAGGTCAGACTCTCACACAATCATAGTTGAAGAGCACTGTAAGGTCATCTGGGTCTGAGCCAAAATGAACATTTCTAGAGGTCAAACTTTGTGAACCAAATGCCCTATGTGTGTATCTCCTTCCCATGTCTGTTCACTGCCAGTCCTGGAAATTTAAGGGGGAAAAGTAAGGAGGAATAAAGCCTTGATATTCAGGGAATATACCACTTGTCCCTCCTACAAAGTGCTAATTCTCTTGTCTTGGGGTGGGCTGTAAGTTGCTTCTAGCTAAACACTCCGTCATCTTCTTTCTGGCTCTCTGTAAGAACTCCACATTTCCCCTTTCTCTTCTCATGGCAGTGTACTCATAAGCTTTGAGTTTGCTGTAGTAATCAGAGAACTTGTTGTAGAGGATGGAAATGGGCATCCCATTGAGTATGATTCCAAAAGCAATGCAGAGGAAGGCAAAAAGCCTGCCTAGGTGGGTCTCTGGGTACATGTCTCCATAGCCCACAGTGGAGATGCTCACCTGTGCAGAAAGAGAAGCAGAATGGAATTGTTAGTATGAGGAAAGGGAAGAATCGGGTAGAAATGCATCCCATTTCCAGAAAGCACACAAATTTCCCCACAGAGATAGATTTTTTTTTATTATAAAATTTTTTAATAGTGAGACATCATGAGGTACAGTTGCAGACTTACACATTTTTGTGCTTGGGTTTCAATTATACAATGATCAAACACCCATCCCTCCACCAGTGCCCATTTTCCACCACCACGGATCCCAGTATCCCTCCCACCCCCCATTCCCCCATCCCACCCTGCCTCTGTGGCAGGGCATTCCCCTCTGTTCTCTCTCTCCTTTTGGGTGTTGTGGTTTGCAAAAGAGACACTGAGTGGCAATCTTGTTTGGTCTATAGTCTACTCTCATCATGCATTTCCCATCCTGAGAGGAACCTCTCAACACCCTTTATTTGGTGCTCCCTTCTCTGTCTGAGCTCCCTTTTCCTCTAGCATGTGCGTCTGGCCTCCAAGGCATAGAGTAAACCTCCTGGTACTAATCTCGGCCATTCTTGAGTGTTAGTTTCCTATTTCGTTACTTTATGTTCCCCAGATGAATGCAATCTTTCTATGTCTATCCCTCTCTTTCTGACTCATTTCGCTTAGCATGATACTTTCCATGTAGTACCACTTGTATGTAAATTTCGTGACTTGTCTTTTCTAACAGCTACATAGTACTCCATTGTGTAAATGTACCAAAGTTTCTTTAACCAGTCATAGATTTTTGAGGAACCAGTCATAGATTTTTGAGGAATCAGAAAGTTTTCCCACAGGACTTGGGTAATGGAAAGCACATAAACTTTGGAGCTGGTATATCTGAGACGCCCATTATTTTGTAATGGGGTCACTCAAGCAGTACTCTAGAAATCCAGGGATCTTCCAGGCACTTCTCAGCCAACCAGACCAGTGGTTCAAGGAGAGGACTTGAGAATACAATGCTGCTTGGATCCTGGTGTGCCAGGGATTACCTAAAAGTCCCCCAAATATATCCTGGCAGTACTTGGAGAGCTCCAGGGCCACAACTGGTGATGACGAGAGACCATATGGTGCAGGGAATCAGCCCGGGTTGGCTGAATGCAAGACATTTGCCTAAAGCCTTGTGACTCTCTAGACCCAGGACTTGGGTTTAAGTCCTAAATGCAGTGGGTGTTCAAGAAGGGTTCCTCGGTGGAGAATTTTATCACCAATTTTATCTTTTTATCAAAAAAAGATAAAACTGAAATGTTGTGTTTTGAAAAGGAGTTGCCCTGCCGTGACCTGCCCCAACACTATGTTCAGAGACTCTCAAACCACCCAGATCAGACTGTGTGATCCCTTCTTTCCTGCTCTCAGCCATAATGTTCCCCTATCTTTCTTCTCTCTTTCTCTCTGAAGAAACTCACATTAGAAACCTGCTAAATCTAAGGATAGAATTAATACCCTCTCTCAAGAAAGCGATTTTACTGTGTGATCTGTCTTCTCTGGAAATGTTTCACTGTAAAAGGTAAAGGTAAAGGTAAAGGCCCTCCTGTTGATCATCGATTTGCTCGAGCGGGCCCAGTAACGTCTCCATTGGAGACTTTGTTGTTACAAAGTCTCGATATGTTTGGCATATCGAATACGTCACGGGGAGCTTGCCAGGCTCTGCCGTGCAGGAGAGATACTCTCGGGAGCTTGCCGGGTTCTCCAAGAGGGGCGGAGGAATCGAACTCGGGTCGGCCATGGTGGCTGCATGCAAGGCAAACGCCCTACCGCTGTGCTATCGCTCCAGCTGTAGTGAAAGATTAAAAAGCCTAAACCAGGGAGAGATGGGGTCTGACTTCTACTTTTCTGCAAAGAGCTTAACTTTGTCTCAGCCTCTGAACCACAGCTCCCTGAAGACACAGATGGCGGGAGCATGTCCCAGGTCGTGCAGATCAAGTAGGTCTCAGAACCACTGAGGGCTGCAGGATCGGAGTTTCTGTACTGTGTCTGAACTTGTTCAGACTTATCCAGTCCTGCTCCCCCTCCTTCAGGCACTGACTCCCTCTGACAACAAAACTATCACTTAAAATATTTTAGGGAGAGAACGCTTACTTTAAAGGGTTGTTGTGAAAGGTAGAGCATATACTAAGTTTTTGGTGTAAAAAAAGAATCAATAAATCTTGATCTTTTCCCGTCACTCAGCAGGGGACCAACTTTAGGAGAGAAAGCTCCTCAGTTTGCCTACAAGACAGAGGGTACTAGAAAGAGTTATAGTTTGGAGGGCCAGAAAGGTAGGTAGGGCATTTGCCTTGCATGCTGCTGACTGATTTTGGACCACCAGTAATCCATATGGTTCCCTGAGCCCTCTGGGAGTGATCCCTGAGTGCAGGGCAGGGAGTAATCCCTGAGCAATACTGAGTGTGGTCTCGAAACCAAAAGGAAGAGTTCTGGTTTTGAACTAGCGTGATCTGGGCTCAAATTTCAATTCTGACCTTTACCTGTGAGTGATCTCAGGCAAAACATTCAGAATCTCTACATCTTAGTTCTTACATCTGAAACCGCTGATGGCTAGCTGTAAGTACGCTCATAAAGACTGAGAAAATGAATTTCATGCATTTAATAGTTTCAATTGCAAAACGCTGAAGAAACACTCATTATTTTGTGAAGGGGCTTTGTAAAACACGATTAAAAAAATATGTTCAACCTGCATGATTCTTCCCATCGCTCTTGTCACACTGCTTTAAATTCTACTAATTAGAGGTTTATTTAGGTTAACAAGCTTCTGTTTCAAAATGTAGAGACTCAAGGGACTAGTTATCATTCTGTGTAGCCAGAGAAAACCCAAGAAAATCTCTTGGGCCTGATTTTTTATGCCTCATGTACTAAGACTTCCTCTGACTCCCAGGCTATTGGCAAAATCACCAGAAGTCTTTTAGGCAGGCTGATGGTTCACAATTGCGAGTTGTTGGGGGTTGGAGTGGGTAGGGGAACTGATGCTGTGCATTGCACAACTCTAGGGGGCATTATTTGCTTCAGTTATTTCTGTTGTTGTGGTGGTGGCGGTTGCCACTATTTTCCCGCAGATGTCAGCAACATGTACAAACTCACCCCGTTGACCTGTACTGAGATGAACTTTAGTAATGCGGACATCTTTGTTTGGATAACACAAGAGTAAGTATGGACACAGAGTAAGTGTGACTGACTAGTTAGAATGTAATGGAGAAGAGGGCCAGCTGGGGAAATTTGCTGGAGTTGATGAGAACCACATCTCCATCAAGCACATAAAAGGGAAAGGATGCCCTTTCCTGGAGGAGGATGCCCCACCTCTCACTACTCCGTTTCCCGTGACAGATCTGCTAGAGATGGGCTGCCCCTGCCACCTGGGGAAACACGAAAAGCTGCGAAGACAGGTGACATGGTATAGGTGCAGTTAAGGCCCCCAAAACAAAAACATAAAATAAAGTATGCGTGCATTTGTGTGTTTCTAATCATCAGTCAAATCAAAAGTAAAAGATCCAGGGCCAGGGATATGGCTCAGGGTCCCATGGGGATGGGGGGCAGGGGGAGGTGAGAGGGACCGGCCCATCCCCTAGCCCTTGAGGCCTGGAGTTTGCCCTCACTGAACCTGTATACCTGCACTTCTCATTGGGTTCCGGAAGTTGGCGGTCACTGGAGGTTTTAGGGGGCAGGTGGAGGGATGACACCTGCCCCCCTCTGAGGCACCTGGTGAAGTTGGCCTGGGTTAAAGTTTGGAGACATCACTGAAACGAGCTGCTAGGTTAGGAAATTCTTTTGTGTGTCTCTGGATCATGGCCCTTGTTTCCATCTTTTCCAGGAAAAAAAGGCCTTAACTTTTAAAAGCCTTTTAACTTTTAAAAGACTTGTCTTGAGTATGTGAGGCCCTGGGCTCGCTTCCTTGTCAGGTAAAGAAAATAAAAGGAATCTGAGGGGCTGGAGCGACAGCACAGTGGGTAGGGCATTTGCCTTGCACGTGGCCGACCCAGGTTCGATTCCCAGCATCCCATATGGTCCCCTGAGCACCGCCAGGAGTAACCTCTGTGCATCGCCGAGTGTGACCCCAAAAGCCAAAAAAAAAAAAAAAGGAATCTGAGTCAGATTTCTGCCTGTGTAAGGAACTGGAAAACAGTTTTGCATGTCATTAACATCATTTATATGTTGCATATACTTTAGTTAATAGTTGGCTTTCAAACAATGTCATTTTGAAACATACTGATCCACTTACATGAGATATTCTTGTAAACATCATCAACTTATAGTGTCAATAAATATTGTATAGTACTTTGTTTAATTTTTTAGATTTTTTTTTTTTGCTTTGTTTTGGGACCACATCTGGCAATGCTCAGTGCTTACTCCTGGCTCTGCACTCAGGAATCACTCCTGGAGCTGGTTGTTGAACTGCATGTGGTTTCAGAGATCAAACCCAGATTAGTCGCATGCAAAACAAGTGCCCTACTATCTATAATATTATTCCGACCCATATACGGTGCTTTAAGCTTATTTTCTATTCCTTATGATTTTAATCGCTCCAGCCCGGCAAGCTACCGAGAATATCTCGCCCTCACAGCAAAGCCTGGCAAGCTACCCATAACGTCTTCAATGTGCCAAACACAGTAATAACAAGTCTCACAATGGAGATATTACTGGGCCTGCTTGAGCAAATCGATGAGCAATGGGAGGACAGTGCAGTGCTTGATTTTAATAGCACTTTCCCTCTAGTTTACTTTATTGTAAGAATACAATATATACGACATATACTATATAAAATATCTGCTACTGTGTCGCCACTAGGCTTCCCTTTCAACTGCAGGCTATTAGGAGTGAAGGTTTTGCTGGGAGTGCTCTCCAGTCGTGATTGAGTGCTCCCAGCAATACTTGGCCCCTTTATGTATGTCTAATAGTTTATTCCTCAGTCTGAGGATGCTTGGACCCAGTGTTCTCAAAGCCACCACAGTTATTACCTCAGTATTGCTGGGGAAGGTGGGAGGGCATGCAGTGCCAGGAAAGAGA